ACTTTGTCTGTCAGTTTGTGTCCAATAGGACCATGAAGAAATTTTCTAAGTCACATTGTTTTTTCTACCTCTTTCCAACTATATACTCAGGCTTGGGTATGTGCCTAACGCCACATAAGGACAGGAATACTCAACTGATCAAATCTAATTACATTTGCTTCTCAGCTAAATTGTATACCACCTTCCCGTCTTGTGAGGGAAATTGCCCCTCTTGGGTCCTCAGCATCTGATTATTGCAAACCTAATTGATTTGCGACATTTCATTAATAAAGTTAACTAAAACTAATTATGCATATTGAATAAAAGTTTCCTGTGAAATGAATTATTCTATTTAGCTTAAGGGTTTTTAATTGTTAGAATGAATTGCTGAGGAGGACTGCAGCATTACTTTCTCTTGGGATCTTTGTGTGTGTGTGTGTGTGTGTGTGTATGTGTATGTGTGTATGTATATATTCAACCAATATGGGTTGATGGATGGTGACACCATAGAAACTGAAAAAAAAAGATTAAATATGAAAGTTAAAGATATAAAAACACCCTCCTGAGAAGATAAAAATCACAAAATAGGTTACATGTAGATCTCATTTTAAGATGTCAAATTAGGTCTGTTACATTTGTCATATAAAGGAAGCTAAAATCAATTTTTAAATTTATTGACATTTATTACTTTATTCATAATGTAAATTTTCCTTCACTTAATTGGTACATGTTGTATTTCTCACCCTTTAATTCAGAGGCTGTGTGTCTAATGCATCCATGTAATTAAACCTAAATTCTAGCAGAAATCCAGGGGGAGCCTCTGCTACTTCAGCTGCCCCAGACCTAGAAGATGCACTGTGGGCCAATACTTCTTACAGGGCCATTTCCATCATCCTCTGTTTGTTCAGTTGGGTATAGATGAATATGTTCTATGTAAAATGAAGATGAGCATTCATTAAAACAAAGATGAGCATTCATTAAAAGTTCAGAGTTGGGTTAAATATGGCTGGGCCATTAGATTATAGAATAATCTTATGTATCACACAAGAAGCTTCTGTCATCAGTGACTTGAATTTGCATTGCTTTCACACTGCCAAAGAGGTTGGATTTTCTGCTTTGTATTGTTAAGGGAGACAGTTGTTTTATCCTCTTGATCTGTACACTGACTTCACTGGACAGACCAAAAGGCAGCAAAATACCCATCTTGTTCTTCCTGTTTGGCCTGGAGCATCACCGAGAAGCCGAGGGTCAGACTCTAGGCCAAAAGACAGCCTTTACCCACTGCCTTGGCTTTATCTACAGTAGCTTTGTTTACTTTTTTATGGTGGCCTCTGATGTGTGCGGAAATATTTTGGTTTTGCCTGGATAAGAGGAGGAAGGCTGCTCTTGACTGGATTTTGGACTTGCAGTATGAGCTTGTTCCTGTTGTCCCAGGGACACCCTGAGCGAGACCAGTATTTTGTTTAAATTCTGGAAAGGTGCCAAAGACCTAGTTCCAGATAATGGGTTACCTTCTGTCAGGTCTGCACTGTACTGTTACATTCCTGAGATACCCTAGATCTTTCTTGAATTTAAAAAAATCACTCCTATATATCTAACTCTTCTTAAGAACCTTAAAAGGAATGACTAGCTAGTTGAAGGGAGAGGATAACAGCACTTTTGGTGCTAGTGAAAAGTTCTTCCTGTGAGCAATACCGAACTGCTAAATTTAGAGACTAATTCTCTGAGTCTTTTCATTTTTGAAAATATTAATCGTAATCCAGTTTAAATTAGAATCTCTTATATGGTTGTAAGATAAACATATCTAGCTATATTATTTAAACATAGGAACAATGTTACTGTAGATAAACTGTATGAATAACAGATTATTTGGAATAGATTCTTTATTCTATAAAGAAAGCTATTTTTTTTTCCACAAATGGCTAACCTTTACTTTGCCTTTTTTCCATTGGTGAAACTCTGAGATTCATATTTAACAATTCTAAACTGAGTCCAAACTTCTATTATTTATGCTTTCACTGAAAAATGATACTATTAAATGTGTGAAGGGAATATTGGCTGGATATTTATATGCCTTTTTCACAGCTATTTATATAGCTGTTTCCAAACCTTGATGCTTCAGTGACTCAAAGACAAAATTAAAAAAAAAAATTTTTGGCTTGTGTAACATACAGCCATTAGTCCAGGAACCAAATTTAATTGAACTACTAAGTATAAGTGACTGGAAAGTAATTGAGACTGATGTTAAAGAGTAGGATCATGTTAGGAGGAAAATGGTGACCAACAAGTTTAAGAATACACTATAAAAAGGGTGATTATAATAATTAAAAATTATAAACAAACTATTGTTATCTGATATATATATATATATATATATATATATATAATTTTGAAATCAAAATGGAGACTATTAATATATTACTTATTTCCATAAAAAAGAAAAAAGAAATAAATGGTCCAATATATATTTTGCTTGGCTTTCCAATTGCTTAAAAAATGTAAGTCAGCTTTAGTTAAATATACAACTGAGACATACCTATCATTGTAGGAAAAATAAAATCTCACAGAATATAAAGGATAAAGAAAAAATATTGGACTTTAGAAATTACCTGACATCTTTTCTTGTTTTGCTTACTTAGACATGTCAGTGATTTAGGTAAAAAAGCCAACAGCCACATATTAGCTCAACATAGCTGTGTACCACTTTTCACAATTTTTAAGAAAATAAAAACCTCTGACTTTAGAAGAGTACATAAAATATTTAAATAAATATTTAAAATAGTTAATTCCACACATTTTGCTATGCAAATAAATAGGAAAAAGAAAAAGGGACCTGTGAGAATTGTATACCAGATAACCTCCAATGGAGAAAATTAGAGTTTAAAATTTCCAAATAAGTGTAAAAGAGCACAAAACTTTCTTACCAAGTAGCAATGAAGTCCACTGCATTATTAATAATTTGTGTATAATAGTACTGTCTAACAGAACTTTCTGTAATGAAAGAAATGTTCTATATCTGTGCCATTCAATACAGTAGCCACTGACTACATGTGTCTATTGAGAACTTGAAATGTGGCTAGTACACCTGAAGAACTGAATTTTTAATTTCACTTATTATAATTAATTTAAATAGCCACATGGGGCAAATGGCTACCATATTGAACAGTGCAGGTCTGTAGATTTTAAGCCACTGAATATGATTTTATTCTTTTACGTGTCCTAACCGGGTTTTTCCAATTTTCATAAGTAGATTTCAACCTAAATATTTTTGGTTCTATAAAACAAGCTCTGAAATGCTGTTTACATGTTACTGGTTTCAATCAATAAGAGATCAAAGTTCTGTAGTTGTAAGTTGGTGGAAGTTTCACAGTGACAATACAAAGTTCAGAAGGCCCTTCCGAAAACACTTTCTGTATTTCAGTACAGTGACCATGGACTGGGATGGGGCCTCAGAGATGCTTCCACAGGAAATCAAGGGCAGTGTTGCTAGTTAGTGGCAGAATTGGCATGGCATCAGTTCTTTAACAAAAGCTGACTTCTTAGAATTAAGCATGTTTTGCTTATTCGTCTGAAACCTGAAGGTTTGAAAAAGTTTAAAATTTTACAGAATTTTTTTCAGTATTTTCTTATTTGTAAGCAAAATGTCATCATTGTTTGGAAAGTTTTGCTGCAAATGTGTGATGTTATCAGAAACCGAGGGGCTTCCAAAATACAGGGGAGGAGAGGCTGGTCGAAGAATTATTGCCGGCAGGAGCCCCCATCTCCCCCAACATTACTGTCCCGGTTCTTCTGCTCTGAGGCTGATGGGGTATTACAGACAAAGAGCTCCTTCTGTTCAGCACTCTTAGGATGTAAAATAAAGCTTCCAGTCTTAGTGTCTTCCTAACTAGGACATATTTTTAATGTACTTTTTCCAGAGCTGGATTTTTTCTGAAAACACGCGCAGCCCAGCTTCCTAAGTTTAACTATACCTCACAAAAAAAACCCTAAGGATTTCCAGTGGCACAGCTCTGTAGAATGTTACTATTTCTGTCTCCAAGATTAAAGCAGTCCTAAATAGTTTCCTAATACCACTGTGGAGTGCCTTCCAGCAAGTGTTTCTTACCTGCCAATCAAAAAGACCAGTCACCTCTAACATATGTCTGCCCACCACCACTGATCTTATCTACCTCAACATATTCAGAAGGGGACAAGCTACTCTTCATTCTCCTTGGAGGAACTAGGGAGTGTCTCCCCTGTTAATCTGGGAAGCTGAGGGCTTGTTCTTTGAGCTGAGTTTACTTCAGGAGAAAAAAATCCTGCTAGCTGAGTCTCTTTATGAAAGCTATCCTACGGGCCCATGTGGCAGGAGGTGGACTGACAGAGAGCATCCCCGGCTGCTCTCTCAGGTTTTGAGTGAAGTGCCCTGCTGTGTGACTCCATGGAACTCATGCCTACCAGTGGGCTAAGCTGCATGGGAATGAAAGGGTACCTCTGCATCCAACTCCAGAGCCCCTTCCCCTATATCTTATTGGAGTAAGGGAGACGTTTGTAAGAATGAGACTCAGACATTTGGGTTTTCAGGTAAAGTTTTAAGGTTCATAGTCTTTAGACCTGTGCATCTAGAACTGAGTGCTGGGGCATTGCAGAACTCAAGTCCCCCATTTGGTGGCTGGGGAGAGAGCACGGTCATCTCCCTCCTGACCCTCCTAAAGCCCTACATAGTATGGAAAGTGCTGCTCAGAGACATCACCTCTGACCACAAGGAGATCTTTGCCAAGGGGTTGCAAATCTCTCACATGGTTTATCATCACTACATGAATATCTTGGTAATTCTGACACTTTACATTTAAATTCAGACAAATATATATGTTTTTAACCTGCATATTAGAAGGGATGAGTTAAGATTGAAATTTCATTCTTTTCTGCTGCTTCTGTTTGTCACGTAACAAAGGCCTGTGTGGCTTCTTGTGCCATCTTCACTGTTGACATGTTAGAGAAAATTGCGGACAGATACGATGTTACACGTGTAGAACATTTACCTGGATGCAGACCTTCTGGGATGGAGTCAATGACTTATTCAGATAAAAACTCAGCCATTTTAGACCAATTTATCATGTATCAAATCTGGAAAGAAAAAAAAAGATTAAAATGATTCACTGAATATGGTCAGACTTTTATTTTCTAATTTACAGAATAAGCATTAACACTACATCTTAAGAATGTTTTTAAAGGGAATGAAGCCATCTGGGCCACATCAAGAACATATTTTTCCTTATATAGAGTTAGGCTCTACTAAGTGGCTGTCTGTCATGGGATCTCGTCCTCCTCCTGCTTATAGTCAACATCGTCCCTCGACCCTTGTAGATGAACACCAGAGAAGGAGAAAAAAGGATCTTTTGGGGTAAAAAATAGCATAATCCTCTAAGGCATTTCTGTAGAGATAACTACTAAATATAAGAAATATTAGATTATATTTTTTTGTGAATCTACAGTAAAACTTTGATACGCGATTCTTTTTAATATAAAGTTTATGTAAGTATTATTGTATCACAATTTAAAACAAATCTTTAAAAAATTTTTATGTTTTAATTTTTCATAGAAGTAATACATGCATGTGGTGTAAATGTCGTTACAGAAAAGTATAAAATAAAAGTACCTCCTGAAAAATAAAAATAAAAATAAAAGACCCAGGAAAAAAATAGTACACATCTTTTAACCCTCACTACTTGCCTCTCCTGATCCACTTCTCAGAGATACTTACTACTAATAGTTTGCTATGTACCTTTCTAGGACTTTAAAAAATGTATACACATGCATATAAAGGTGTATATCCATGTTTTAAAATTTTATACACCATATAGTCTGTGTGTTTTTTAAACTTGATAACATGGCTAGCAGAACTTTCTACATCACAATACATAAAGCTATCTCTTCCGTTTTGATAGCTATTTGGTATCCCATTCGTTGCACTGAAATATGATATTTAACCAGCCCCAGGGCTTTTTTTTTTTTTTCAGTTTCCCATTTTGGATGCTTAAAAAAAGCCCCAATGATCATATTTTGTACTTACATGATTATATCAGTAGAAAAAGTTCCAAACATAATTGTTGATGCAAATTGTTTATACATTCTAAGTTTTTGAAAGATATGTACAAACTGTCCTCTATAAAGATGACATGAATTTATAATACCAAAAATCTGGCTTGTAGCAAACCTTAAATGTTTTCCTAAGTCTGATAAGTGAAAAGTACATTTTTGTTTTGATTTGCATTTCTTTAGTTATGAATGAGGTTGAGATTCTTTTTGTTTTCTTATTTTTTGTGGTTATTTTTCTATTAGTTTGCCCAGTCGTGGCCTTTGCTCAATTTTCCATTGGGTTGTTCACTGTTTCTCATTTTAAAGAGCTCGTATTATATTAAAGAAATCGGCATTTTACATGTGATGTGTGGCAAATAGCTTTCCCAAGTTCCTGTTTATCTTTGACTTTATGATGCTTTTTACAATACAGCCATTTAAATTTTTTTATGTAGCCAAATTCATCAATATTTTTCATTATGGATTTGGAGATTTTTTTAAGTAAGAATTTTTTTTTAAAGTTAAAGACTTACTCAAGAAGACTGTGTATAGGTTACTTTTTTTAACAACAGTGTATACCAACTTCACTATCACATAGTGATACGGGAGAATTTTGGCATTAGAAGGACCTATTTTTATCCCTATTTCTTGTTTTTTTTTGTTATAGCAAAAAAATTCCCATTAGATGATTTTTTTTTACTATAAAATACCACTATGGTGTAAAATCTGTGGACTCTACTATACATTGGGGAAAAGAAATAGAGACAGGGTCAGATTTACCAATATTCTCTAGAGGGTTAATAGTGGTTTTCTAAGATCTGAAATCTAGAGTGAGTTAGAAGGAAAGTAAAATAAATTCCAAGACAAACAGAAAGTATGAAATACAATAGAGGTTCATTATAGGAAAATTTGAAAGCACATGCAAAAGAAAAAAAGGTGGGGGTAAGATAAAAGTCACCTTTGATCTTAACCTTGATCTTAATAATCCTCAAAAGCTTTTAAGATTTGTTACATATTTTTCCTAGCGTTCCTTATCTGTTCCACAAATATACAGGCATTTAAAAAATATATCAGTAATTTTACTCACAAAACAGTGCTAATACAACTATTTTTGTTAGAATACCAATGACCCAAGTAAGACCTTAATGGAACCTTGACAAGAATCTGCCACACACACGCACACACACATGCACACATGCACACAAATGCACACACGCATGCACACACACATATACACATGCACGCACACATGCACACACAGGCTCACACCTGATTTATGTTTTATACATCTTTATATTTACTTATGATTACCTTTCCTTGTTATTAAATATTTTAAAATCTACTTATATATAAATATATGATGACTATATAATATTCTATCATACCGCTTAACCTAGTGGGAGTTTAAAAGAATAGATTTGTATTTCTTTCAAAAATCCATTCTATCAAATGCTAGAATACATTCAGGAAATCATTACGTAGGAATCACGTCAGATTCTTTTCCATTCCTGATAAAGTGGCAGCAATTAACTGTGTGAAGGTCAAGTGCTGGAAGACATCATGATACAGTATGTTTTATGTGAAGTGACATCATTTGAATGGAAAGAGAATTAGATTATTAAAGCTGGGTCAGTGGGACATTCCTGTTCTAGGGACACACCATGTAGATTTAGAAGCATGTAAGATGCATTTGAATTGTATAGCAAGAAAAGTTTGGATCAAAAAGTGAAGAAAATAATATGTAAGATAAAATTGTAAATGTATGAAGTTTACTAGAAGAAATGCTGTGAGATTTTTAAAAATTTATTTAGGAAAAAACCTGATACAGATTAAATTCAGCTACAGTCACAAATATTTAGGTTTAGTGAGACCATCAGGACTGTAAAGAATCCTAAGAGGATCATCGGTACTTTATGATTTATTAGCACTAGGACATTCTGCCTGCTATGTGCAGGATGTCTCCTGGGCACGAATTTCCCTCTAAGCTCTCACTACTTGGCTTTATGGCATCTCTGGGTTGATTTTTGCCCTAAGCCATGACTTACAAGTTAGACAGTGTACTATTAGTGCTGCCGAAAGTTCTAGATCTAAGCAGTTGGTAAAAATCTGTCTCCCAAGGATATCCTTTTATGACGGAGAAAATCGTGGCTGCTCACTACCGTTGACACACCTCTCCTCTCAAACATGATCAGAAGGAACCTAGACTCACCTCAGTCTTTTGACCAACATCAGTAAGCCCCTGTCAAAACAACAGACATTTGACCAGATCCTCCTGACAGCTCTCAGAGAATCTGTATACACTGGGAGAAATCTTTCAGAGACTGAATCATTTGGGGAGTCACTGGCTTAAAATAAATCACCCTTGCTTGCAGACTGACTGGTTAGTAACCCTATTCAACTAAAGTTTTGTAAACCATGCTTATAGATAAAAAGTGTTTATATTAAAAGCGGAAACAGTGATACATAATTTAAGTTGGAATGCAGAACAGTTTATGTATGTAGGAAATGGCTTGTTCAATTCAAGACAGAAGTTTTTTTAAAAAAAAGTTCATCAGAACACTAAAAGTTTAAAAAAGTAAATTTCAAATAATGATGGGAAAAATGATGATGAGATATCAAATCTTAAGTTTTAAATAATGGGCTGTCTTAGTTCCTGTATTTATTTCCCAATTAAAGAAGGAATTTCTAGAGTTCTTCATTATTGCAGTTAAAGGTAAGATGACAGGCAAACATTATAACCAAAATGGAATAGATCTTGTTTTTTCTATGAGGGAAGTAGAACTTGATTTCCAATTGTAACTTTAAATAAATTCTCAAATAATTGGCCTTCAAAAGCAGGCAGCCTGGTGTGGAACAGACAGTGTGGGTGGCAGCTCAGAGCACAGGAATCAGAAATTTGTGTTTAAATCTTGATTCTACCAGTTACCACATTTTGATAAGCTACTTATCTTGTTATCACTCAGTATCCTGGTCTATAACATGGGGGTAAAGCAGTGGCCATTACATAGAGATGTTGTGAGGATTAAATAAAACACAATATTTAAAGGCTGAACATTGTTTGGCATATTGTATGTGCTCAATAAATGTTAGCTTTATTAAAAATGTTAGTTTATTAAAAAGCCAAGAAAATAACCTCTAGGGAATCATTCTGAACAAGCCAGAGGTAGTGTTCACTCATGTGTCTCTAGCTTCAATGTGCATTTGAGTCACATGGGGATCTGGTTAAAATGCAGATTCTAATTCAACGGCTTGGGTAGGGTCTGAGGTTCTGCGATTCTGATAAGCTCCCAGGTGATGCCCGTGATGCTGGCCTGTGGGCCTTGACACCCGAAGTAATTGTGGATGGTTGTTTCTAATTTGTAATAGATATGGTCATTCTCAATAGGCAGAAATGGGGAAAGGAGGGAAAAGGAAGATGCCGACAATATGTACAGATTTAAAACTGCTCCCCAGGTGATTGTCATACGCTTGCCTTACCTGCTTCCTAAAGCCCGAAGAACCACTGATTTGGTATTTCAACCTTTTATTCTTTTTCATTTCTCTTTTTCTTACCTTCCCCTTGCCATTACAACTTTAGACTAAAAAATGGTATTAATACTTAGTTCCCCATTAAGTAAGACTAAAGTATCGATTTTAAGTCATTTTATTGTGTGTAATAGGAAATGGTTTCGCTCTAACATTTCTCTTCTACAATATAAGCATCTGAAAATGTATTTAATATTTTCCATAGCTTTAACCAAAAACAAACAGGCAAAAAGGGACTTGTAGAGCATTTAGTAATAGAATACAAGGATGGAATTGGATGTAGTGCATACTATCAAAGAAGTTACAACGCCATGGGGAGGGGAAGATTGTGGTGGTTATTATGGAAGTGGCCAGAATCAGTGTAACCACATTCAACATTTCCCCTTGGTCTGAAAGGTAGGAGGATTGTTTTTAAATGGCTGCCCAGCCCAGTGGCATTGAGATGATTAAAGAGACCCGTGTCTAAATATGTACTTAGCTTGACCAACACCTCTCTAGGGCAAAGACCATTTTTATACTTTGGTATATCCTCAGGGCCTGATATCACTCCGATCCATTATATTTTCTCTGTAAATATCTTCTGCTATTGTTGATGTATTTCATAGATATAACCCTTCATTTCCCAAGGTAGATAAGAGGAGCTTTGATTAATATAAAATGGAAAATAGCTAAAGAAAACTTAGAGAGCAAATTAGCAATCATAAACTCTCTTTAAAAGTACACAACCGAATGTGTATTCTCCAGTATTCTTACTGTGAAGTTAACTAGTCAAAATACTTTAATTCACTTATCTAAATAAGATTTTAACATTATTTGATGAAGAACAAAGCAGCTTATATGTGTATAAAATGAATAAGAAATCACACAAAAGCTGACCCAATGAATGATTATTAATTCTGTGATTTAAAATGTTAAGGACGTCTAGAATTGGGACTTGGAATATGAAGGCACAATGGGATTCTGAAAAAAATGAAGCATATCAATTTCTTACTCATTTTCCAATTTGTGTTGGAAAAGTAATTAAATGTGAGATCAGCCAGACAATTTAAAATATTCCTAGTTATAGGAAGGAAAATCAAACAGTAACTGGCAGAGTCTAGACATTTATTTTTACTTAAGACATTTAGATGATACATCTGTTTAGGAGCCAAATAAATAAAAACAAACTCTTCTAAACTAAGCTATAAAAATAACGTAATATAAAGCAGCCATACAGCATTTACAATATATAGTGAATTCTTTATTAGTAAAACAGTTTGAAGAACTTTTGGTTTTCATATTAAAGGGAATTTTTTCCCCTGTGATCATCTGCTATGAAGAGAAAGAATCAAAATTAGAAAAACTTTGAATGTTAATACAACCACAGCTAATAGCAGGATTCACTTGTCATTTTTATGATTGTTCTAAGTATACACTTTATTCTAATTGTCAAATTTGTCATTAAAGTAACCATCAACTAACACAGCATTTGGCAAATTTATAGCTCTTTATTTTATTTTATTTTTTTGCTGTGATTTGTTTTAGGTGTATTTTAGAGCTTTAATAGGATAATGGTAGTCATTTGCCAAATCAGTTGAATCTTACCTTAAATCCCCATAGATACTCCCTGATTTAAGATGGCTTTATATAATAAGCCACTGAAAAGTTGATTTTTAGTAAATAAAATCTCTGTTATGTGAATGAAACAGAAAATGTAAAGTGATAGCTAAATTTAGGCTGGAAATGGAACAGAATTTACTTTTGCTTATGGGAGCTTTAATATACTGTTTTAATAAGCACCTATGTGAAAATAAACACAAACCATGTAATCCAATGATTTAGGCAATTTTGAAACACAAATTTTATAACCATTTTGAAGAAAAATAATAGTACTTTCCAATGGTGATAGGTTAAAAGCTGATTTTTCCAATTTGCTAGATAACATGGGAGAAGTGTTTATAACCCAGACTTGTCTACTTTGTCATATTTTGTTGCTCTGGCTGTATATTTGTTTATTGCTACAGTGTGTCTTCAAAACAGCTTTTTAATTTTCACAACACTTGGATTTACTTCAAACTTCTAAGTAAAATTCTTGTTTGGGAGGCTCTCTGGCTTTGCCCAGTCATGACTGAGCGGGAAAAGGACTAGGGAAACTAGCGAGCTTGGAGCTAAAGACCAGGTGCCTGCGTCTGGCAGCCAAAATCTCTAAGTGTGATGGGACTTGATCTTGGTCCCTGTAACAAATTTGAAAGCAAAACACAGCAACTGTCATCTGCTTGTAAAAGATTGTGTGACAGCACAGATAAAACTACAGGAGACACGCATCACGCATCTTAACTCCTTCTCACCGAAGTATTTACCTGGGCTTTAGATAAGCAACAGATTGAATTTTCTTTCATTGTTCTCCCTCTAGTGTAGGGCAAACAACTAGTCATAGTAACAACAAAAACAGTAATCAGCAGCAGCAGCAGCAGCAGCAGCAGCAGCAGCAGCAGCAGCAGCAGCAGCAGCAGCAAAACCCCCCAAATTATGTACACTCATACACACACAACTCTGACCCAAACTGGGAAAAGGAAAAGGCAAAAAAAGTAAGAAACGTGAACAATCCACAAAATCAGTTTGAATACTGGAGCAGAGTAAGAGAGAGAGGGGAAAGATTTAAGCTCGGAGCTCCTGGGATGCAGAGCATTGCCGAAGCAACAGTGGCTGAAGGACCCTTTATAAATCTCAAGGAAGATAAACTTTCCCTTCCTTTGGCATCCTTGGAAGAAAATCAGTTTTCTTCTGAGCTGATTCAGTTTAAGGTTGAAGAAGAACTGAGCTAGAAATCAAGGCCTCATGATGGGCACAAAGAACAACGAAGTCAGCAAATAAAAAGGAGAAAACAGAGTAGATAACAGACTTGACACTAAAAATCATGAAACTTCAGCAAATGTTGAGACCTTGCAACTGGGGCCACTCCCTGAGCCTTAAACCAGGTTGTAGGAAGAGCCAGTTGTGATTTGCGGAGGGACACTTGGACCTAATGATTTTCCAGGGCAGAAAATTTACCGGCAGAGCTATTTAGACAGTTTTGAGGGCCCCAGAGATGGGCTAACAGGGTAGTTATTTTAAACTTTTATTTTTTAAGCAATAACTAGGCAACAAAAGGAATCAAGGAATTCTGTCATTGGAGGGAAACTTACAGGCAGGGACTTGAGGTTCAGAGTTGTGAAATAACTCTAACAGCACATGGCCAGATAAGTAAGAGTCTCCATTCCCAGCGCCCTGTGCTTCCCTGCCCCTGCACTATCTTCCAGAAGGGTTGTGGAATCCACCACAGCCTGAGGAGAGATTATCTACGTGGGGCCTTGAGAGCCAGGGAAACACTGCAGGGTACAAGGAAAACCAGTAGTTTCTGTTTTAGAGAAGACTTATAAAGGCATTACAGCTTATGCTAAAGGGAATACATCTGAGGACCCAGGATCCTTGTGTGGCAACTATCAAGAGAATCACGTTGGGGGTGAGGCACCTTTAGGAGATATAAATTGCTAAAAAAAAAAGTTATAGAACAGAGCAGCAGGGTGCCAGATTTCCTGCCTCCCTCACTGTTACATTCTCTTCTTGGAATGACACTAGAAGTAAATGTAGCCAAGTTGCAAATGTCATCCCAGGGGAAAGTGAGCACCCAAACTGACCAGGAAGAGACGGCTCCAGAGGGCCACTCCTGAGTGTTTGATTCTTAATGAGGCCATCAGCAAAGATTAAAGAGGCCCTAGGTGGGTTCGTTAGCCAGGTCTCTAATGGCTGCCCGAAGACAGGGCAGGAGATGCTTTGGGAAAGACTTGCTGAGGCCTTCTGGAGACGAAGCATCTGGCACTGTGGAGATGCTTGGCCGGACTTTAAGAGACTTGGAGAATGGGGTGCTAGGTAGAGGAGTGGATGAAGGGAAGGGGCCAGCAACAGGCTCTGTTGGAAGCAAAATAGCTCCTAAAATCTCTCAGTTACAAAAGTGCGCTGGACAAGGTTATGGGGATTGGGGTGTGGAGAAGCCCAGGTTTTTCCCGTCCCCATTTAGATGAGTCAAACAGCACTTTACCTAGGTGGAGACTTTGCCCTACGTGGGGGGCGGCGTCGGAGAACCCACCGATATGGTTTGCAGGGAGGGGTGTCGGGGAGGTGAGCCGTGCTGGTGCATGGCCAGGGAAACAGTGTGGGGACACTCTTAACTTCACTTTAGAAGTGGCACAGCTTTTAAATGGACGCCCTGCGGAGTCGTACACTCAGGTTACTGTTAAAAGACAAGAGTTAACTAGAAGCCTCGGAAAGAAAGTTTACTTGGTTGCATCCCATTTCTGCAGATTTCTTGCTTGAGCTCGATAGAATTTGATCAAATCGGAATGAAATTTCGGGAGCAGGCAGCAAACAAACTCAAACCGTTTCTTCCCAACACAGATGCCCTTCATCAGATTTGGGTAAGGGCGGTCAGCTTCGGGTCGGGGTGGGCGCCGACTGGAAATAACTCTCTCGCGCCTTCGTTCCCGGGATCCTCCCGGCACAGCACCCCCAGTTGACACTTTGGCCTGAAAGTGACCACCCCTGTCCCCAAACCCCGAGCCTGGCGGCCAGTCCGCGCCAACTCACCCGCACCCGGGATGCTGCGCCCACGGCGGACAGAGCTGGCGGCGCTGGTTCGGGGCGTGGGCGCGCCGCCTCCGCGTTCCGGCTGTGCGCCCTCACTCCCGGGGTCCGCTCGGGCTCCTCCCCATGGATCGCCGCCTCCCGGCCGCTGAACTGCTAGTCGAGCGTCCTCCGAGACGCTCTGTCCCCCACTGCCTGGGACGCTTGGCTGACAGGCGCAGGAATCATCCTCTGTGAAGCAGCTTCAAATTTATAGCGAGGGGCGTTGCTGCTTCATGGGTTCCAGGGGCGAGGCTGTTTAGCACTCCCTCCTCCTCTGCCCCGCCCGGGAGACCCTCTTGGCCCAACCCCCTTTTCTCTCCAGATGCTGGCGGAAGTGGGATGATGCCACTGTCATCCCAGTGTCATTTATTAGATCTACGCGCACCTGGCCCCTGAACCCGGCATCGAGGGAGGGAGTGGAGAAACGGAGCAGGGCTGGGGATGCAGGAGCAGCCGTTCACACCTAGACTGATTTTCCTTTTTTTTTTTTTATCCAACTTGTAAAACTTTTAAGGACGAATTAGGGAACTTTTCTTCCCTGGGAATAACTCAAACTGAAAATGCCGTTGTGGATCACAGCTCTATCCCATAGATTAATTTCAGGGTTGTTACAGAGTGAAAGGGTGGATATTGATTTCCTCCTGTTGGACATGCTACTGGAGTTGCGTTTTTAAAAATACGAAAATAGATAAAGTTAAAAAGCAAAATGTGACCAAATGTTTAAGGAAGAATTAATGTAAGTTCTTTATAAACCCATCCAAAAAAAAAAAAAAAAACAACCAAAAACCAAAAAGCAAACCAAAGAGGAAGTATCACTTCCCAACTCATGCTCTGAGGCCAGTATTACCCTGATACCAAAACCAGTTGAGACATCAGGAGAAAGGAAAACTGCAAATCTCCCTTATGAATGTAGATAAAAATCCTCAATAAAATGTTAGTGTATCGAATCCAGTAAGGTACTAAAAGGATTAAACACCATGACCAAGTGAGATTTATCCCAGGAATGCAAGATTAGTTTACTGAAACATTAGTTAATGGAATATACCGCATCAACAGACTGAAGGACAAAAATCACAGGATCATCTTAATAAATCAGAAGAACATTTGACAAAATGAAAAACAACTTTTCATGATAAAAATCACTCAATAAACTAGGAATGGAAAGAAACTTCTTCAAACTGTGAAGTCTATGAAAAACTCATGTCATAACTTAATGTTGAAAGACAGTATTTTTGCATCTAAGGATCAGGAAGCAGACAAAGTTGTTGGCTTTCCGCACATCTATCGAACATTGTACTAGAAGAAAAAGAAATGAAAGGCGTCCAGATTAGAAAGGAAGTGAAACTATTTGTATGTGCAGATGACATGATCTTGGATTTAGGAAATCCTAAGGAATCAATTAAAAAGCTACTAGAGCTAATAAACAAGATCAGAAAGATTTCAGGATACAAGATCAGGATTCAGAATCAGCTGTATTTGTACATACCAGCAGTGAGAAATCCAAAAATGAAATTAAGAAAAAACTGCATTTATCATAGATCAAAGAAATTGAAATACTTAGGAATAAATTTAGCAAAAAGATGCAAAGCTTGTACCCTGAAAACAGAAAACATTGTTGAAAGAAATTGAATTAGACCTAAGTAAATAGAATGACATTCCATGTTCATGGAAGACAATATTGTTAAAATAACAATAATCTCCAAATAATATACAGAGTAAACACAATCCATAACAAAATCCCAGCAAGCTATCTTTGAAGAAATTAAGAAGGTGATCCTAAAATTCATAGGGAATGCAAGGGACCCAGAATAGCCAAAACAATCCTGAGAAAGAACAAATGTTGGAGGACTCTAACTTGCCTCCTCGTATCACAGGTATTTGGAATCATTTATCACAGGACCTCTTGTAGAAAAGCAAAAAGTAGGGGAAAACAAAATTCTGGAGATCGTGAGTGATATCAGGAAATGCTCCTGTGATTATCGTTTAAGAATCAGAAGAGTTTTATATTTTTAAACCTATTTAGTGCTTTAAATCATCAGCCGTAGTCAACGCCTATACTACATTTCAACTTGGTTTTAGAAATGATCATAGTTTTGAGGACTGGATGTTTCTTAGAGAGTCAGCTGTTTTGGGTGAAACTTCTCAAAAGGGTGGAATTTACTCCTAGGGATGTTATGTCATCAGACACAAGCAGATGAGAAGGACAAGTTTCCAAGAAACTGATGGCATCATCATTATTATTGGGCTGACTCAACTGATTAATATATAGTTTAAACACCCAACACCTAAGCTGAAGCCCAGCTTTGCTGCTTGTTAGCCTGATACACTTATACAAGTTTACCCTCTGATATGTTTTTTTTTAAATATATGGAGTACTAATATTCCCTAAGCTTTTGTCAAGATTAAGGGAAAGAGTATATATTAAAGCTTCAGATACTGTGCCTGGTACATAGCAAAGTGTTTAATAATTGGCAGTCATTTTTAGTGGGTAACTGGCAGTTTTCTATACTGGTCAAGGGCATAGTGGCTTTTTGATGCTTTAAAAAGAGATAAACTTCTTGATATCTTTCACCCCATTTATATATAAAGATGGAGAATAAATATTTACAAGGTTCTGTAACTCACCAGAGAATAAAGATATCCAATAAGCTGGTGAATGTGATAAAACTTACGGAGGCTTGGAAGACTTTCAGGGAGTAAAATATATTATTCAAGTTATATTTTAACTATGAGTTAAATATTTAAAACTTATTTAAATACTTGAGAGAGGAGAAAAGTAATAGAAATAAAGCCATTCTTAACTTTAAAGATGAAGTCAGATATAAATGACGATGGATCAATTTAATTCTATGGAATTAATTTCACTTTCTAAAAAAAGCAACGTTACTATTATATTCATCAGTAAAAATGTTGATAGATAATAGGAAAGAATGAAACATTTTATTTATTACGCAAATATAATTCCCAACTAGAAAGTTGTGATATGTGAGTGGTTTAACTCTGTGAACATCATTGTTAATAAACATTCAAAAAATAGATCATGCTCTGTACAGAGGAACTGACATACATAAGAAATGCATCAATTTCCTAAACATTTAACTTTAAGAGAAGGAAATTTTATATAATGAATGCTGAAAAATGGAGGTACTGAGAAACGAAATATCTGAGAAGAACAAGGTAGATATTTAGAATGCAAAGAGGATATATTTTGACTGATGTAAAGAACTCAACAGATTTTCATATTAAAAATTCTAGAAAAATGGGTGGTATTTGTAAAATTGTGTTTAAATTTAACTGGCTGAGGAAAGATAAGGAGATTAGGCTGTCCCAATTTTATTTAAATTTCCATTTTCTTCAGAATACAACCCAAATATTTTCCACCATATTTCTTATTTTGGTTCAATTTTGGTAAGTGATCTCTTCTTTACTATCAAATAGTTTATTCATACAATCATGCTGGCAGTCCTTTACTAACTACAGAGGTCATGATAACAGGCTGTCCACTTTGCCTGATGCCTGTCTGGCATCCTGCCACTTTGCGAACACCCCTACTGGCTCAGGGCACACTCCCGCCCTGCTCACTGAGCTGCATGATTCCTGGTCCAAGCAGTAGGCTCCTCCCTAATCAGTGAAAGGCGTGTCTTTGACAGAGGGGAGATGTTTATAGCTGATCTGAGCTCCCTTGGTTAGAGACAACTCCTAATCAATGAAGCTGCTTCTAGCCCATTTCGAATCTTCAACTTGACCCTGCAGTCCAAATAATTCCTTACACATAAGCAAATTATACCTAAAAAAGTAAAACTTGATGCACTCACCTGCAGCCCCTGGATTGCTAACAGCTATCTTTTTGTCAGGATTTCATCTACACTAGTTTTCGTGCTGGAGGAGGCATTCACTGAGTAGTCCAGATTTGGCTGGCTTGAAAGCCACTTATTAGCAAGACTTGAGCAATTTTTTTGGCAAGGGGAGATGAAGTATGAATATTGAAGCAAAGCCATCGGCACTCATCTGTACCACTTGGAGTTCAGTGGTGGAGGCATTACTGGGTTGAAGATATCCTCTGAAATAGCAAATTTTTTTTCCTTGAATTAAGTGCTGTCTTTTCCAGTACAAAAGTCCAATGTTAATCTTATACTTATCCTTATAGGATTGTTTTAAAGCGCTTTTCTACATGGCTATTGGTATAAAAAAATGACAATGACAAATTCAGGTTTCTTTGGCTGACTCTGCCTGTACTCACACTTTCTGTTTGGTTTGTAATCCATGGTCTTTCTACATGAACTCATGCTGCTAGTTGCTCATTAAATTGTTCTTGCCAAAGTACTTCCTGATCAATTCTATTATTATTTGTTCTTTTCTTTCCTAGTATTGATGTTAACTGCTTGGTAATTTCCTGGATCTCCCCTTTGGCACATCTTAAAAGATTAGAATAGTTATTATTATAATTTTTTTCTTGAATCTTTCTGCAGCCAGTCCACCATTCTGTTTTCTGCATTTTTATGACTTACCCATCTACAAGATGTAAATCTATTATTGATATAAGACAAATATCTTACTGTGAGGATAATATTCTCAACTATTTCTTAGCAAAGAGATTTCTATTTCACTAAAATATACTTTGAAAATACTAAGTAAGAAACAAAATTAGAGGGTAACATAAGCACTGACAGCTAAATATAGCTTTACGAGCAACTTATTTGGCTTTTCCTGAATGAAAAAAATTTAAAAGTCAAATTTTAAAAATTAGCTACTTAAATATGCAAATAAAATACTATTTTATTCATATTATTTAACCACGAGCAATGTATGTTGTCTCTTTAAATATTCCTTTACTATTTGATTTTTTCAACTATTGCTTATTATTATAGTGTAGATATAAGCCAGTTTTTGGCCTTTAGTCACTGAAGAGACACAACTAATTAATCAAAGCAGTGACAATGACTACTACCTGCATTAGGCATGGGGACGTATAAGACACAGCCCCAGAACATGAGATGTTCACAATCGAGTGAGGTAAGAGTAGTAGGAATGCATAATACTATGTTTAAATAGTACAGATATGCTCAGAGAATACAAAAAAGGCAATAATTAAATCAGATAGCTGCAAATTGGAGAAAGTTCCCATACCAGAGGTATTTGAGCCATGCCTTGAAAGTTAGGGTATTCTAAATGGAGGTCACTACATGTGCAGATGGCACTATGACAGGTGTGCTTTTTCCAATACAGGTAGAAGGGAAATGTGATGGTT